GATTTCTTAATTTTGGGTTGGAAAAGTGGGGGTCGTCTTGTACGTGGGGGCATCTTATTGATGGAAAAATACGGTATATACTTTCATTTATATGGTTATTTAAGGAGCATAACACACACAATAATATCCCTGTAAACAGGAAGTGGTGTGGCGATTCAAACATTGCTAAAATATAGTTCTCAGCATCCCTCATAATTGGCCATGTTGGATAGAACTGCTGATAGTTGAGATTCAGCTATGTACGGAGCACTACAGGTCAGCTTGCCTTGATGTAATTAGGATTGTACAAAGGAGTGTCATATGGTCACATTCTTCACAGTTGGTCATATTTCTGATTTTAAAATGTGCTTATGAATATAGAGTAAGGGAAATTACCTTGACAGAAATATGCAAGAACTGTTACCTAGGCAAAGAGGGCCGAAACATTCTTTGTTCTGGTGGTCACACAAGTTCTGGAAGCACAATAATATTTGGAAGTGGCTCAGGCAAACATCTCCCTGATTCATTGGGGTATAAGAAGGAGGGAGGGACAGCACAATCTGACTTGCAAGATTCTCTTATTGTAGCCTGTCTCAATAAAGTATAATTCTAGTCTTCCTGTGGAGCTGATTGTCTGGTCTACCTAGTAGCCAGTTTGGTGTAGTGGTTAAGGCACCAGGCTAGAAACCAGGAGACCCTGAGTTCTAGTCCCATCTTAGGCACAAAGCTAACTGGGTAGCCTTAGGCCAGTCACTCTTTCTCAGCCTAGGAAGCAGGCAATAGCAAATCACTTCTGAAATTTTGTCAAGAAAATTGCAGGGACTAGTCCAAGTAGTTGCCAGGAGTCAACAGGAGAAGGCAGGAAAACAGAAACTACCTAGTAGGGCTGACAGTTGAAGAACTAATAGTGCCCCATGTGTTTATCAAAGTACATTGTTTTAGAATGCTCTATCTTTATATTGCTTGAGGGCTCCATGGTCTGAACCACTGATCAAAACTTGGCAGACTAATTGTATTAGTGATGATGCAAACTATCACGTTATACAAAATTCTGTGCTTGTTTTGGAAATGTAAAGGACAGCGTTAGTAAAATCTTACTGGTATTCATCAGAAGACATGAATCATAGGCGCAGAAAGAAAACAAACTAAAAAGAAATGTGGTGCTGCTATGATATCAAGTTGTGTGCTTATTCTGATAAGGGAAGCCCATTTCCAGTATTCAGACTGGGAAGTAACTTTTTACCTGTTTCTACTGATTCATGGAATGAAATCTCATCTCTATGGTACCTATAAGAAATTCTCTTTTGATAAAAGCATATTCTTTTAGCAACTGTTCCAATTTCATCTCAAATCTTAGCAGCCAATATCTACAAATTTTCTCCCCCCCCCCCCCCGTTTTTGCAGAAGCCATTTATTAAAATCAAATGACCTCCTTCTGCCTTCAGTTAGCATTCCCTGAGCAAGGCCATATGAGTAGTGATGCTTGCCCGTATTTTATAGATTTGTAGCAAACTACTGAGTTGTTTGGTTCATTGCAAGTCCTTGTTTGGAAATAGGCTTTAAAGAGTGAATTAGCAATTACATGTAATGTTGACTATCGTGGAATTTGTTTAAAAATATACATTTTCTTAATATTACTTATACATATCTATGAAAGGAGGAGGATAGTGCAAGCGCTGTTATAAATTTGGGGGGTGGGCATTCCTTATACTGTATTCGCATGGTATATTAAGGACTGATTTATAAACTGAAAACATCTTTTTACTGCTCGTTTCTTTTAGATTGAAGCACTTCCTGATGGATTATTCCAGTGCAAAAAGCTACAGTACCTTCTTCTGGGACATAACAGCCTAATGCATTTGTCCCCTCGCGTCGGTGAGCTTCCCAACCTTGTTCATCTGGAGCTCAAAGGAAACTATCTGGAGTTACTTCCTGCGGAGCTAGAGGAATGTAATTCCCTGAAACGGAGTTGTCTAATTGTAGAAGAATGCTTGTTAAAAACTCTTCCCCTTCGCGTAACAGAACATATGCAGATATGCTCGGACAAAGTTTGAGTTCGAGAAAAGTCGTGCGCATGCGGACAAAATCATGGTTCAAAAGAAAAATATACATGAAAAGAAGAGGAGTAATACAGGTCTGCCCATTGACTTAACTTTCCTGATAAGAAATTAACATTAAAATCCTAAGCAGAAATATAGACCTGGCAAGTATCTGCATGCATTACATTAAAACAGGAGTTAGTGGAGAAAATTAAGTGGATAGTGTAATCAGTACTTAAGTGGCTGAGACTGAATAACATTATTCAGGTCTAGAAAGGTTATTTCTTTTCTTTAAATAGCAGTTCTTAAATAGCTTGTTGTAAGGACCAACTAATACAGTTTTTCATATCTGTTATCTGTTGGTACATTTATAGAGGGAAAGAAAGGCTATTAGTGAAAGCTCCCCTATATAAAAACTACTCTTGAAAAATCTATTTCAGAACTAAATGTTCACTTCTGTTTTAGAAGTGTTCTACATAGGCCTAACAAAATTTCATTGTGGCGCTATGAACTATGTCCAGATTATTGTACTAAACTTCATGCAATCCCGACTTCCTTTAATTTATGATGCTTTAATACGAGTTAATTATGTGTACCTAAGGGAATACAACTGGACCTGATATAAAGGTAAAATCAAATCTTGGAGAACTATGCAAGTAGTAAAATTCAAAATGTCACTTTTTTTTTTTTTAACTAAATGTATTGCTTGTCTGCATTAAAAGAAAAAACTCTAGCGCTTTAATTTTGAGCAACAATGGATATGTAATATGCAAAATAGAGGGTACTTTCTTTTAAAAAAAACTGGCTATTATTTTTTCCTCAATTTTCCGGCCTACCACACTAAAGATTTTAAAGATGTTCATCAAGTTATAAGTAGTGGTAAAAATAGCAGTTTCAGCACTTAAGAATATAGATTGTCTTTATGAAAAACAAAATATTTAATGAAAAGCACATGAATGGACAAATCTTATGTATTTCTCTCTTGCTCACAAACGTCCTTTGAAAAACTAACATAAATTAAGGAACTTTCTTATAACCCAATTCTTTATTTTCACTGAAGCAGGAGGAAGAGTATTTATACCTATAGAACCGAACCCTAATAAATACTCTCTAACAGAGTTCTGCTCTAAAGAACTGGGAGAATTTCTGTGATAACATATATAGCAGAGGAAGACAGGAGGAAAAATGGCGAAAACTGATCCATTTAACATAAAACTCTATTAGACTGAAGTACCTTCTGTGAATGGAAGAGTAATTCCTGTCCACAGAACAAAACTCGGGATTCATTCCATGGTATTTTGAATTCATTTCAGTCTTGCACATCATCTTTGTTGTGGCTGCGGTGCTCTATGTGTGGGGATTGGGGGGGATTTTGGCTTCCATTGTAAAAATACAGTAACTTGATAGCAAGCTTTCAGAGCAAATGGATCTTTTCCTTCTGTATGATAATAGTTTTATAGTCCGCTATCTTCATTTTGTGCCCAATTTTGTGCTTGAGTTGAATGAGAAACTGGAAAGGTATATTTTTTGATAAATTTTTGATTGCTTCTTTAAATACAGCACACTTGTTTTAATGATGCCATAAAATTGAGTTGTTTATGAAATGAAAATTTCACAATGTTCATCTTATGTCCATCAGAATAATTACACTCCAAAGACCTTTCAGAATAATTCTCAGGGAACAAAAACATGTGTTGTGATTTCATGGATTTGATGCAATTCAAATTCCTGCAGCTTTTTAAAGGTACAATTTATTATATGCATGTCTAGATGTTGACTATACCCATGTAATATCCTAGACCACCTTTATGTGTTTTTTAAATAATCAATAGAAGTAAGCTTCGCGGTATCGTGTGTGTGTGTGTGTGTGTGTGTGTGTGTGTATGTATACATATGCACACACGCACACATACATACACAACACACACACACACACACACACAGACGATCTGCATATATCTGGATTGTTCAATACTCATGCTGGGATTTTAAATTATGGTTCTCATGTAAACACTCCATAGAACTAGAGAGTATCAAGTGTGTGGCTGCTTGATTGTCTGCCATATGTAAAAATGTCAAATTCAGTTTTTTTTAGCCTTCATATTCATTTTCATACATAAAAAGCAGCTGCAGTTCTACTGTCTTATCTTTTTGTACTGTACTTCATTCCATCCCTTACTTTTTTCAGTTTGACATGCCTCTGAAGAGTCAGGAATGGATGGCATTTATCTTGGTATAGATTATTAGAATTTTAACCTGCTTTATTCTTCAGAAACTGACAGATACTTTGATTTTCCTGTGGTAGAGCCAGGGCATAATTAAGTTGGTATCTCCCACCTGCTGCAAAGGTAGAACTAGAAAGATTTTTGATGTCAATTCCTGATGTTATCCCTCATCCCTAGTTTCAGCCTTGCCTTTCTCCAGAGAACATGCATGGTTATGAACTTCACTGACATCTGCATGACCAGGACCAATTTGATCACCGATTATCCGCACTTTTCCTTTATCAATCTTCCTTCAGACCCAATGGGAGAGGGAGGAACTTAAGTTGTTTGTGGATGAGGGAGATGACCAGTGGGTAGTCGTTATGTCCTCCAGACTATTCTGAAAAGCAGATTTTGCACAACTACTCAGGAAAGTCTGCAAGACTATAGACTTACGAAACTAGAAACCAGCCTCCACATATCCCACTTCTGGATCTACTGGTGGCAGTAACCATTCTTCATGCCTCCCCTGCCCAGAATTGTTCAACAAAGTCCTTGTGGCCAAGTAGGGGGATCCATGAAGCAGCAAGGGATGGCTCCTTCCTGTCTGCCAAACTTCATTCTTTTCCTCAAGGAACCCTATACCTCTTCAAACACCCTATGGCAGATGCCCCCATGGCAGTATTGACTTTGAGGGCCATTATAAAGAAAAATGGGGAGTACATCCCCAACATTCAGAGGACAGGAGAATGGAAATCCTGCAGTGCAAAGGACATGAAGCAACAGCTTTAGGTACAAGGACCTCCCTATCTACCTTAACCTCTGGCAGGTTTTCTGTTCTTTGGACCAAACAGCTACTTTAGCTAATCCATCCAGAATTTTATGAACAAACTAGCCAGGGGGGCAACCTTCACAGCAGATGCTAATATGTCCTGTTCTCAACTAATGTTTTGGCACTAGGAGATAACTTTGGCTGAAAAATTAAACATTAATTCTAAACCTGTTCTCATTTAAGGCCCATCCAAAGGGGGCAATCTATTCAAAGAGGCCCTAGGTGATTTCCTAGTTCAGGGAGTCAAGAGGATGCCCAAAGTAGCATAAACCTCTTGGGGCTGCATGCAGCATATCGAGCCCTGAGCATGTGGCAGACTCTCCTAAAAGGCCAGGATGTCATCCAAACAGATGTGTGACCACCAAAGTCCACATACAGAAAGATGAAGAAAGCTGATGAAAGAGGCAGACAAAATCCTGTGCTGACTGAGGACAATATATATTTCCTCACAGCAGAATACATTGAGGAGATCCGTAATACAGTGGCAGACTAGCTCAGGGTCACAAGATTTGGATTACAGCAAATGCAGCTTCGGTCCCAGACTGTTTGAACAAATCATATCAATCTTTGGGAACTTAGCAATGGACCTTCTAACACCTTCCACCAGTCACAAGATAGAATAGTTCATCTCACATTTCCCTATCTAGGGAGCATAGGCAACACTTTCAATGCCACCTGGCCCAAAGACCTGGTATACATCTTTCCCTCCATTCATCTCCTAAGACTAGTTTGAAGCCAGAAAGCAGAACTGATTCTGATAACTCCCAACTGGGCCAACAGATCCTGGCCCTCAATTCTAGTCACCTTGTCAACTTCCCATCCATTAAGCTACCTGGCATCACCAAAGCTGCTGAGCCAAAGGGGACTCAAATCATCTACATTCAGCTGCTTACAATTACATGACTGCAGGTTGAGTGGAACTATCATGTTGGCCTATGATAAAGTAACAAACTTATACAGTCTATCATCACATCAAGAGATTCTTGAGGGGGGGTCTTTTTATTAAGACCATCAACTATCCATAGGTATCTGTCATGGGACTTCAGCTAACGCTAGAAGCCTGCAGCCAATCCCTGTTCAAACCCTTGCATGGGTTGTCCTTAGAACACCAGATTTGGAAAGGGATGTTCCTAATAGCCATAATATAGCCAGGTGGATATCAGAAATAGAAGTGCTTCTCGGCCAAAAAGGAGACCCACATCATCCAACTATTACTCTACACCTAGACACTGCTTTTGTTATTAGGGTGAATATAGCATTCCACCAGGACTAGAAATAATTTTCTCTTCCCTCTGCCTCAGTCCCAAATCCAAATTAGAGAAGGATCGTTATACATTGGATGTTAGATGAACCATCAAAATCTACCTGAACGTAACAGGATTTCAGAGTCTCAGACAATGTTCTGGTTTACTTTCAACATTGACATGCGGGCCACAAAGCCTTCCTAGCAAACAGGATTTCAGAGTCTCAGACAATGTTCTGGTTTACTTTCAACATTGACATGCGGGCCACAAAGCCTTCCTAGCAAACAGGATTTCAGAGTCTCAGACAATGTTCTGGTTTACTTTCAACATTGACATGCGGGCCACAAAGCCTTCCTAGCATGATTTCTAAGGGAATCAAGGCATACCTCAAACTAGCCTATGAGACTCAAAGCAAGCCTGCCCCACAGAGGGTTGGTGCACTCCATAAGCACAGCTGACTCAGCTGCCCTTGATGCTAATGATTCCCTGGCATATAGGGATAGGCTGTAGTCCTGTTTCCACCCTTATAGAGCATTGTAAGATTAGCTCTTACATTTTGGTCAAAACATCCTTCAGCAGGAAGGTACTACAGAAAATAGTTCCCAGTAAGAACTATGGGCCCTCTGAATAGTATGATCTTATGCTGAGGTGTAATGTTGGTATATACCACTTAAGATTACCCTGGGTCTACTATAGGAAAATAGTACATTGGACTTGTCATGAAGGTCCTTTCTACAGTGTAGACAGGGCATCCAGCCTCAGGCATTGACAAAAAAAAAAGTCTGCAAGTTGCAAGGAGTTTTAAGGTGTCTTCTGTATTCCTGACATTTCAAGTCTTGTTACCCTGAGCCCTCCTTCTGGCTTGTCATTCCAGAACTGGAGAAAAGAACTGTCTCCTTCCACAGGAATTTCAGGCAGCTTTTTAACCCAACCACCAGTGTGAGTTTGAGGGAAGATACTCACTTTAGGCTGCCCTGTCTCTGCTGTAGGAAAAGGACCATCATGATAATTCTAAGTACCATTTTAAAAAGCTGGTTTTTTGTTTGTTTGTTTTAAGAAGTGAGATCTTAATATTGGAAGATTATGAACTGTATCTTGAGAACATTCTTCTAAGGTTATTATGAATCTGATATTCCCCATTTTAAATAAGCCTCTTTTTACACTATGTTTCACCAAGAATAGCTTTGAACATTCTCTCCATCCAGATATTTATCTTCTAACGAAGCCTTCCCCAACTTGATGCCTTCCAAATGTTATGGATTTCCATCTCCTATTGCTGCCAACCACCATTAGCTGTACAAGCTGACAAGATAAAGAAATTGAGGTCCAGTACAATGGGAGGACAGTACATTAGAGAACAGCGGAATAATGTTTTGAAATAAACATCAGGAACAAATGTAAAAAGGTTTTTTTGTTGCATTCATAAAGAAGTTGTGGTAGATAAGAAAGCTTTTAAAATAGCATCCCCTGACTTGTTGCCAGCCTGATGTATTTGACTACAAATCACCAAGAATATAACTGTATTGGTACATGCTAGATGATGGGAGTTGTAACTGATCATGTTAAAAAATTACAAGCTTTAGGGATTATTTTAACAAAATGGAAATTAACATTACGTCTGAAAATAAGGTAATTTTTAAAAACTATAGTTAGGATCTCTAGAGATAAGTGCTTGTAATAAGACTTCAAACAAATTGGTGTTTTAATATTAATTTGTTGCAAAATATGGTTCACCAAAGGCAAGAAATCGAAAGGCTGGTAATTCTAGCCTTAATGCATGCCACAGTGTGCCTTCTGGATTTCCTTTATGTAGTCTAGCCCCATCCCTCCAGTAGCAGAAGTGACCTATAAGTTTAATATCCAGTCTGTTGCTTTCCATCATCATCACATTATTTATGTATTAGAAGGAAAAGCTGCTGAGAGTTAATGAACTACTTGTTAAATTCTCCTTCATGATTCTAGGATAAATAAGCTCAAACCATATTTGTAGATAGCACTTATTTTATACAGTACGCCATGGTGTTTAAGTACAGGTAATCCTCAGTTTAAGAACGAGTTCCATTCCCAAGGTCTGTCCTTAAGTCGAATTTGTTTGTAAGCTGGAACAGTATTGTATAATACTGTATAAGTAGTAGTATGTAATTAACTCGAACCATTGTGTATTTAACTCAAATCATTGTGTATTTAACTCAAATTTTGCTACAATAGGCTCCATTCTTAACTATGGGTCGGCCATAATCCAGGCGCTCTTAACCCAGGGACTACCTGTAACTCTAATGCTGCTGGGTTGGGGGAGGGCTT